AAAACCATATTAACAACGGTACTAAGGATGGTCAACCCGTATACAAAATATTTACATTTCTACCAGTAAGTCAATAAGCTTCCCTTAAATCTCCATAAAGTATAGAACATGACCCAAGGGTTCAAAACTATCTATTCTAATTAAGTCAAAACCATTATCTTCGTTAACCCTTCAAAAGCTCTTATATTTCTCTCCCTTCAAGCACCCAAAACATGGTGATCAGAATAAGATCCACGTGTTTCCTCCAACCATTGATACCCTTCCACGCCCATAACTCATCTTTAACCGATCCCGCCATCACTACTTCACACCTAATAAACCATAGACTATGGTTCATAACAACAGCCTTTTACAGAAATAACACCCATTCACCAGAATCTTGCCCCATCTCAGCAACTTATCAATTGTCAGAGTACACTCCCTACTGGCCTCTCGAGCAATTAATTTGTTACACAGGTATACAGTAAAGTATGCATAAGTTTCCACTTAAAGGAGGGTGATGGAGGAGAAAGAGAGAGAGATGGGATGGAAGCCAGTTCTTTTAAAATTTGAGTAGAACCTATTGTTAACAGTATTCAATTATTTTGGGAAGCCCACAACAATGAAAATCATCATACACAGGCCAATTGGGATATGAAAAGAAGATTTCAAAGCAACTAATTTGTTACACAGGTATACATTAAATTATGCATTAGTTTCCTATAAAAAGATTCAAATGGTAGTGTTCTCACAGTTGCAGAAGCCCAAAGCCATGCGATAAGAGAGAGAAGTTTTGGCTTAAGCTTCAACTCTTTCATCAGTTTACAAGCTTCTTTCCACTCTGATTCCGCTTTACGCAAAGCCTTCTCAGCAACCCAGATTGCCTCATCCACCTAATGATAATACAGATATTTCACAACCAATTCCAAGACTGATGAGAAGAATACTTTTTTAATTATCGAAGTAAGAGAAACCTAACCTAAGAAAAAAGCAGATAGAAACTTTATAATCAAACACCGAACTTGTAGTGCTTGCCTCTGAAATTCACCAAAAGTTGCCAGTATGTCGTAACTCTGAGGCAAGTGCACCAGATAAGGGTACCACCACGAACCCTTTCCTTTACCAATTTCATATAACAAACATACAGTAAGCATCTGCATTGTAAACACAAGAACATAAATCACAGTACCTTAAACCTAATCAAGCACAAAACTTACATGCCTTCGATCACAAATGGAACATCGAGACAGTTAGGTTGACATTGAGTACCTGAGTAGCGGAGAGAGAAGGATGGCTACGAAGAAAATGACATAGATTTTGATCTTCCAAAAGATTTCTTGTGGTCATTAAGGCAGATTTCGGGACTCTGAGAATCAATTCTCCCTTTCTGAGATCACGAGCCGCACCCAACCCTCGTCTGCAACGGTCCCAGTTCCCATACATGGTTCAGTAGACAAGACAAACGCGATTTAGGTAGCAGGAAATTGCCATTCGTGAGCTTAAAAAGACACACACACACACATAGAGAGAGAGAGAGAGAGAGAGAGAGAGAGGGAACTGAAGACATACCCGCCTGCGAGAGGAAAGTGAGAGACGGTGAGAGAGTGGCCTAAACAGGAGGAAGAGCTGTGAGAATGGTGGGAATCTGAGATTCCAAGCTCCGCTGCCCATTTCAGAAAGCTTTCAAGCCCTGCCTGTTCTTGCTCCATGCCTCGTCGTTCTGCTTCTTCTCACTGAGATCAACTACAACACCCCCCAAGGCATTCAAACCCTCGCATCCGGCAGAGAAGAGACCCGCGGCGGCGCCAAAAAAGTTGGGCCGCCGTCCGGACCGGGTTTCAAGAGTATATGTATACTGGGCTTTGGGTGTCGGCCCTGCCTATCTGGGCCGGGCTTAGCTTGTCCTAGCTGGGTTCTGGCAAAGCCCGAGTCTTAGTTTTTTGCTTATATGAATGGAATCTTATATATATATATATATATATATGTAAGGGTAAATAATATTTTTATTAATATTTATATATATATATATATTTTTTTTTGAAATTAATCTAAGTTTATTATTATTAATATATGCAGTACATATAAAAATTTTTGTTATAGAAATTCAGTAATGATTTGAATAAATTATTGTAGTTAGTAAATTTTAATTTACATCTCTTAATTATTTATATATAAGCATATATATATATATATATATATTGGGATGTATTTTCAAAAGTACTTTAGTTTTGTATTTACTCGTACATAACAACATAAATTTTTGTGTCTGCTCAGTTTCAACGATTTAATGGGTTTTGGTTTAGTCTTACTTAGAAACTATAAATTGTATAATGTACCCAAAGTTATTATTTTAATTAGTTAATAAAAAATTCATTAATTAATTAACTAGTCATAATTATAAATTAATTATGTTCAACTTATATTTAAAATGTATCTGTAACGGTCCGGAAATAAAAATGAAATGTATATATTAAAAAGTTCTAAGTGCAAAGTGAAATAAAAATTTTGATTAACATCTCTTACACAATAACACAAAACGTATTCAATTTATGAAAGAATAAACTAATTAAGGACAATACTAGTGATGAATGCTACAAATAAAATTATGAAAATCTTTAGACGTGTACTCGCTGTCTTCTGCGGAACGGACTCGGAAACCAAATCCTCTGATCTGAAATGGTTAAATAAGGAATGAGTTACACTAATAAAGTAAATATATCACATTATCTCACTGTCACGTAAGTAAATATTGGTAGAAAATAAAAACGACAAATGGAGCATAATTCATGATAAATTTATTTGTTAATAATAAAATTTTTTACTGTCCACTTATCTCGGTAAACTTTATGAAAACAACATAAGAAAATAATAACATTATAATATTATACACACTTTATAACATAACACGTATCATACATTTGTATTTTATAATAAGTAATTAATTTTTTTTCCTTGTAGTGGGCTGATTTCACTATGTAGAAGTGTATTGTGTGTGAGTGATTTTGAGCGAGAGAGAGAAACACGAAAAATGACAAAAAGGGAAACAAGGAATCAAGTGGGGTGGGCAACAAAAAGACTTTTAACATTTATAGATAATTAAAAAAAAAAACAAAAAGTCAACTACAAAATGCTAGAAGGTTCAACCCAAAATTTGCAATTCATTAATCGATCAATTGCAATTAGTTACATTAACTTTTTAATTAAATTTAAATTTGTAAATACACAATAATATATATAGACTAGATTCCTAAATATGTATAATTAAAATTAAATGTTAATTTCAATGGAACTTTAATGGTTTTGAAATCATAAGTGGTCCAAAGACCAAATCTCCTTAAATAGATATAATCTCACATGTTATTTTTAAAAAAGTATATAATTTAATTTACTTTGAAGTAGATTTGTTCGATTGAGACTGAATTTAATAGATTGAAATAGAATACATATTATGTAACACCCAACCCTTTTTTTTTATTAATTATTATTGTATGAATGTAATTATTATTTATGTAATTTTATATTGAATTTAATTTATTTTAATAAAAAGGGATAAAAATTGTTTAGAGATTTAATTGAAAATAATTTTGGAAAAAATATGTGAAAATTTGGGTTCTGTGAGTATTTTTAAAAGAAAAATCAGAAATTGGGGGTCAAAACGTAATTTAGAAAAATTGTACCATGTCAGTTGCCCGGTCAGCAGCCCCGGCCAACCAGGATGCGCCAGGTAGAAGAGACGCTGACGCTGGAGGCCACGCGGGAGGGAGCCACGTGGGTGATCCACGCGCGCGCGATCGAACGGCTGAGATCCGTTCCTGTGCGCACGGACAACCCAGATTGCATCGCGCACGGACGGCCCAGATTGAATCATGATAAACGGTCCAGATTCATTCTTTATTTAATCTCGATCGGACGGTCGCTGGAGCACGGCGAAGTCATCGTGTCGGAATTTCAAAATTGGCCGAGTAAGCCTTGGGTCTGAATTTTTGGGTTAATTGGGACATGTGCAGGTACCATAAATGCGTTTTAATTCCCGATGAAAAATTCAGGGAACCCAAGGACCGCCCGTAGACGCAATGAAAATCTAGTTTTCGACGCCAAATCAAGTAAGTACTAAGCAAGTATCATTCACTCTATTTTCTATCATGGAATTAAAATCTAAATAAATGATAATACTGTATTTTGTACAAATTAAGTAGATATACATAATTAATTACAGTTGCTAATGGAGTCCGAATCGGACATATTTCTCTGTCAATTCCTGCTTGATTTTGTTTACAGTTTAAATGCATTATGATATCTGGTTTATCTATTCTATGGTTTTAAATGCATGAATCACTGTTTACTTCACTACTGTTTGATTTTGGAAATCTAAGATATGCTTGTTTTGTTGGATGCACGTTACTTGTGTATGTATTCATGTTTAAGTTGGTAACGGAGACTAATGATAAATAGGAATGGGATGAGATTTGATAAATGGATAAGATGACAGCCTCATTAGATATTCTAGGAGATGGTGGATGGACCGGGTTCATAGGGAACCTTACCGTAAACGTTGTCTCATACCGGACGGGGTATGGAGATTTGGTAATTTGGCGCCCATACTGGACAGAGTATGGGGACTGTTTGCTTCACTCTTATACTGGACGGGGTATTGATGTTTATTATTTTGGTGCTCATACCGGACTGGGTATGGGGACGACCATGGAATTAAGTTTGTTAAGGGAAATGGTTCACGTATAACGGGAAC